AATGTTTTGAACGTTCGTAAGTGTCAACGATGGTTCAGCAAATTTCATTCAGGTTACTTTAGCCTTAAAAACTGTGATGACAGAGGCCCAAATGTTGGAATTGATATTGATGCTCTGAAGACGCTTGTTGAGTCTAACCCAAGGCAACACACTCATGAAATGGCCCTGAAATTGCATGTCTTTCATGAAATAATATGTAAACATCTAAAGAATATGGGAAAACTCCATAAAGAAGGTGTTTGGGTACCTCACAAACTCTCTGATGATTATCATTTCCAACATGTGAATGTTTCTTCATATCTTCTGGCACGTAATGCATGTAAACTATTTTTGGATAGAATTGTCAACAGTGATGAAAAATGGATTTTCTATGCAACTATTAAATGCCAAAAACAATGGCTCATTCCTAGACAAAAACCACTTCTGACTCCAAAACCAGGACTCTATCTGCAGAAAGTGATGCTTTGCATTTGGTGGGACATCAAAGGAGTAATTCATTTTGAACTCCTCAATCCACAGTGGACTGTCAATGCATGTCCACATGTGGCATGTTTGATGAAAAATAAGATTATGGAGTTGGGGTAGGAAGTTCTCCCCCCACCACCATATTCTCCAGATATGGCAACACCATCTTAATGGGAAAACGTACAAATTTGGAAGGTGTTAAAGAGGTCATTGATATGTTTTTGCTTCAAAGCCAAGTGATTTCTTTAATCAGGGCATTAACAACCTGATTGTAAGATGGAAAAGCATCATTGATAAGAATGGAGACTATTTCATATATTAAATGTTTTGTTTTTAAATATAAGTCATTTGGGTTTTTTCATCTGAAAAAAAAGCAATATTAATTTCTTGACAACCTAATAAATATGTAGTGTTTTTTAAAAAATTATATAAATTCATGATGATGAGGAACCCACTTGAAATAAATAATTATATATATATATTGTAGAGACAGCTGATATGGGTATAGAAAACATTTATTTGAAAAGCACAAAACAATTAACAACGTTTCGACCTCCTTAGGTCATCATCAGGTTGAGAATGAGATTTGAAAGAGTGACCATTATTGATCATGTGTCGTGGAGAGGACTGTAATGATAGGTGTAAGATTATAGGGGGCGTTGTAAATATTTGACTTATTATATGGTAGTTAACATTAAGGAATAATTTGTACAGATATAAAACTGTTCCTTGGTGTTGGTTTAATGTGGGTTTTAGTTCTTGTATTAGAAGAGCTTCTTTAATTTTTCATTTTTTTACTTTGGTTTCTGTATTTAATATGTTAGTATTTTCTATGGTTATACTGTGGTTATTTGAGATACAATGTTCAAAAAGATGGGAGGGTGATTTTTTGTGTTCATTGAATCTGGTTTCCATTATTCGACTTGTTTTGCCTACATAGAAATCATGGTAGTTGTTGCATTGTATTTTATATATGATGTTAGTGTGATGATTGTCAGAGTAGTTTTTACATAGTACATATTTTAATTTTGTACCTGGTTTTTGAATGAATTTAGTGTTTACTGGAATGATATGTATGGTTATGAGTTTTTTTCAAATGTTAGTTATTTTGTTGCTGATATCTGGAATATATGGTATGCAGCAGTATAGTGTTTTGTTATTAGTTATTTCATTGTCTTTTGGATTGTGTTATTAGTTGTGGTTTCTGTAAATAATTCTTTCAACAGTTTTTGTGGGATATTTATTAGTTCACCAGTGAATATGAAAAAGATCAACAACTAGCATTTCTAAACCTCAATATTATAAGAACAAATACACAGCTTAAAACAAAAATCCACAGAAAAATCACTTGAACTGTATTGTACATTCCCTGGAACTTGGCACATGAAACCAAACAAAAACTCAACATACTAGAAAACCTAACAAACACAGCCACAAGACTATGCTTACCTGACAACCTTAACGAATAATTCAATCAACTAAAACAAGACTTTATCAATGTGAATAAAGGAATAATACAATTTTCAGAAGTAGTAAGAACAATTTATTCTAATAACTTACACTGTGTAAAAGCCAATATTCTGTAGGATTTATATTTTATAACAACTAGATATTGGGTGTAATAACTGATTAATATTACACTGTGTTACTGTTTGTAATCATTAAACTGTTTTACACCACTTATTTCTAACTGGTGTTTATATTTTCTTATTGATATTCAATTAAGTACTTCTCAAGGGAATTTGTAGAAACGGGTAAACTTAATACTGTATAATAAGGAGATGTCCATTGACTAGTTTGCCAATCTTATATTAAATATAGTAAATTTAGTCTACATAAATGGTTTTTCTAGCTTAAGATATACAAACTTTTTCATTGGTAAATCTGTAATAGAATGATTATAGGTATTCATTAACCCCCTTTTTAAGGATGTATTTCATAAACAGTTTTCTTTATTTAGATTCTTTCAATTGAAGATGATCGACTTTTTGATTTCAAGGTAAGTGCAAGAGTACTATGAAATTGCTTTTTTTGTGAAATGAATGATTTAGTAATTACAGGAATGGTTGTGCCACATAAAGTTATGCACAAAATCATATAGAAATTGCCAGGTTAAAGATACAGAAAACAAATACATAAAATTATTGTGAATTATTCCTAGTAATATCTAAGTTGAAGCTAAAATTGTGCAGTAGTTGAAAAAAAAAAGAAAGAACAAGTAAATATGATATAGTTAAGTTGAAAATAAAAGAGGTAAGTCATAAATTCACACCCCTCAACGTGGATTCCTGTACGTGGTGAGGGGACCTCCCAAGGAAGGTTCTGTATTTTCAGTTACTTTCTCTGAGATCTAAACCCGTGAAGGAGAGGAGAGGATCCTGGTGGTTGAGTGGTGTCTAGGGCACTGCAACACACCACTTTGGCTGGTGTTTGGGTATAGTGCTCACAATACCCTGGCGTTTCTGCAGTGTCCTTGTTTAACATTGTAGTGCGTCCTCTTGTAGGACTCCATGGCGAGTGGGGTCGGTAAGCACTGAATCTTTCTCATTTATTATGAATCCCCCAAATCCAAATAAAAAAAAAACTCTGCTAATTGGTAAACAATCACACCTAGAAGACATTATGCAACTACAAAATGATATGCTTGATTACACTTTACCAGAAGCAACCCACAGTCCCCATAGTCTCCCCTAACATCACCCTTCCCAAAAAAGTCTTGCCTTGCAATGTTTGAAAATTTCCCTTATTTGTCAGTGGAGCCTTTGTGTTTTTAATGTCCTCTGGATGTTACAGATAGCAAGTATTAATTTACTTTGGTGTGGGCTAACTATGTGTACTTAGCTTCTGGAGAAAAGGTGAAACTGTTTGATTAACATTTAATTCAGGATGTATCTTGTGAATCCACAAACTAAAAGTGTTTAGAAATGACACTTACATCACAATCCTGTAAGCAGTGGCAAAGAATGGACGGCTGAATATATACAGTATTATACGCATGCTTTTTAATATGTGAGCCCAAACAATGTATTGTAGAGTCTATGTAGCCAAAGTTACACTTTGGACATTTAAATTTGTATATGATGTAAGAGCAATGCATAATTGGGATCCTGTCTTTATATATTTAAAATAACTACTAAAATGAAACAGTGGTTTAAACACAATTCTATGCTTAATGTGAGGGTAAAGGTTATTCTTCAAAATGAATTTAATTATTTTCTTATGGTTACCAGTAAATAGTAAAATACAATAAACTTTTTCTTTATTTTCAACTTGTTTACTCGTTTTATGAATATACAAGCCTTTTAAATAATTCTTAATAACACTATCAATTAATTGTTTAGGAAAACTATTTTTTTGCAAAACAACTTTTATGTTTTATATTTCTTCATTAAAAGAGGAAAAAGAACTAATTATTTTTTTAAGTTTGATGAATTAAGTTATATATTAGGTCCTTTTTAAATTCAAAAGGTAAAAACTGTGTAAATAAAAATATTGACCTGTGAAAGTTGGCTGATGATAGCACTTCTACCTAAATTAACAATCTTAGTGTCTAAAAAAGGTAAACTGTTAGCTGTTTGTTCTTCAACTGTAAATCTAATATTTTTATGTTGATTAATCTACATTAATTTTGAAATTCTAAAGTATGAGCTTTATTTTTGAAAACTAAAAAAGTGTCATCAACATATCTTCTATAGTATAAAGGTTTAAACTTTATCAGACAACTTTTTAACCACTATTCTTCATAATAACTTAAAAAATAAATTAGCCAAACATGATGAAACACTTGATCCACAGATACCATAGATTTGATATATTATCAAATGAAACATTTTTTTCCTCTATTGGTATATGTTTTAATTTCTGTAGTAATTGTTCAAATCTGAAAAAATAATCTACATAATCCAATTTGTTAAAATTGAGAATTAATATTGGATGAAATCTGTAATGAAATTAGACCAGTTGGTTCCCATTATGCTATATTTTATGGATTACCTAAAATACATAAATTAAATTGTCCAATCAGACCAATTGTATGAAGTACAGGTATTTTCACATAGAAGATAGCAACTTTTTTTGGTAAGTTTTTTGAAACTCATGTAACCAACAAATTAACAGTAAAAAATAGTTTTGAATTCACCAAAGATATATCTAAACTGGCTTTTGACACACCCATCTATATTACCAGTCTTGACATCGAGTCTTTGTATACCAATTTACCCTTAAATGAAGTAATTGAGTTTAGTGGTAATTTAATTTTTCAAACTTTTGATGTTGTTAGGGGTATAACCAAACCTGTATTTGTAAAACTTATTGGAATTTGTCACCAAAGAGTCAATGTTTTTTAAATGGATGTTTTTATGGACAACTTGATAGGGTAGCTGTGATTGGTTAAGAAAGCCTATCTTGGTGTCTTTCCGTTCTGTTTTGAAACATCTGGTATGAGATAAAATAATTTAACTAAAATGTAATGAGTATGATCATAATCTAAACCTTTAGAAAAAATGTGTGTCAAGTTAAAAATTGTGATCTATTTGTCTGAATTTTTTTAAAAGCTGCAATCTGACTGACCAGAGAAATTTCAAAAATTACACTGCTGCATTGACAAAAACACTTAAAAAATTACAGACTGCCTCCTTTAAAATTATTCACTAACATTAATTCTTCACACTCAAAAACTGTAAACATTTATCCGTGTAGGAATTCCCAGTCATGAAGTTTAAAAATTATAAATTCAACAAAAATAGCAAATTGAAATAAATGTTTTAAAAATCTTTGCACATTTATCTATGAGTCTGTCATCTACTGCATAATTCGTGTTCTTTGCAGTGTATTATATAATGATGAGACAGGTCACAAAGTTATTCAGGGATTTCCTGAACATGGAAGATGTACTATTAACTTTAATATTGAAGACCAAGTCTCCCAACATTTTTTTAGTGACAAACATAATCTTTCACATCTCAAACTAGTTGTTTTAAGGTGTACTTCAGTTGAGAATTTCTCATTTGAATGCGAGGAACAATGCTTTATTTATCCTAGGAACCCAAATCCTTTCCTCATTATGAATAAATGAGAAATTTTCTTTCATTTAATGTTTCTTCTAACTGTTTTTTATTCTTAATGTTGTTTACTATGACCTAAATTTTATACTCGCTTCCTATCTTCTCTTGTTTCTTTTTCTCTTTCTTTTTTTTCTTTGTCAACCAGTAGTTTACTACCAGTAAAAGAGGAATTTTTCTGTATTTTATTTGATTATCATGAATTACTTTTTTGTACTTTTTTATTCACTTCATTTATCTTATTAATTTATTATGTATCATTTACCTGGATTTTACTGTATTGTTTGTTTTGCCTACACAACAGTGTTTTTCAACAGTCAATTTAAGGTTCTAATGAAATTGCATGTAAAAGAAAGAGGTCAAATACATGCACATTGTGAAAAGTTATATCAGTTTATAACATGAAAGTCAAGCTACTTGTGCATCAGAAAGGTTAGTTTTATATGGTTTTATTAATTTTTTAAAGTGAAATATGAATCAAGCAAAAATACCCCTTGAAAACTCCCGAAGAAAAAAATCACCAGGTCTGTATGAATCGTAATCTAAGAATGAATGAAGAAGAGAATTCTAAAATAGCCTTCACATGGAAGTTTAAAGGAATCAGAAAAAAAAACGAAAAACTGGTAGACCTAGTAACACATGGAGGAGAACTGTTGAGAAAGAAAAAGGTCACTTTAAATGATCATGGAAAATGGATGAGGTAGCAACTAAATACAGAAGCACATGGAGGAGCATCATAAAGCCCAATTATTCAAAAGGGATCCCTCCCCCCCAGTGGGTCAGTGATAAGTCTGCAGGGATACAATGCAAAAAATTGGATTTTGATACATGTGAAGCACAGTGATGTGCATAAGGGGTTGGCTGGGTAGGCCTAAGCCCCTGTCTTCCTGTCGATGTGCCTCAAAAGTCCCCTTTTTTCCCTATCAAAAAAAATATTCAAGTATGAAATGATACATTTGATTCCATTCCTTGTTTAATGTCAATTGTTAGGAAAAAAGACAAAAAAATAATTCAGCATTAAAATGAATGGCAGAGACTGGGTAACTGTGTTCAGGTACAAGGTTGAATTACTTTGATCGACTAAATGTTGGTGCCAGTGACTAGGATCTAGTATATAAAAAACATAATTTTGACATGTTATGAAGTGTTAATATGCAATAATTCAATGTTTCGTTGTAGGTCATAAAAATGGTTATAATACCAGTTGAATAGAAATAATAGAGGATCTGTTTGCTTCTGTGATTTTTACTTTATGTGTATCAGAGGCAACCCACAGTCCCCTCTAACATTTTCCCCCCCAAGAAAAAACGTACTTTCTTTATGAATCTATAAAAGTGCCCATTTTTTTGTTAATGAACTCATTGAACCCATACCCTTTCAATTTTCTCAGCAAAAACCAAAAGGTTCCTGAAGGGATAGATAAGATGCATGTTTTCATCACCTTCAAATTACAGATAGATGGAAACATTATAAATTTTTGCTTTTTTTCACTGCAAATTTTAGTTTAACTTCTTCTGAGTTACATGTGCTATATTAAAGATTTTTTATAGTGTTTCAGAATTTTGTTAATACTTAGTTTTTTTATCATTTCAGTCTAACTTGGATGAGCAAATTTCTCTGATTTTTTATGATCAGATTGACTAACCTCATCATATTCTTTTGAAAAACTTCCACATTATAGCTGTTTGTATTCAGCTCTTATGATTTCATGCTAAAGTTATCTTTTTTTTTTCATGTTTATAAAAGTATAAACTTTATTTTTTAACTTAATCTACAAAAGGAGATAAATTTTTGGTAGGCTAGATACCAAAGCCAAATGAAATGTTTAGGATTTCTTTTTCTCATGAAATGCATATATGAAAATTGGAAAAAACGGTATGTTAAAATAATTTTCACTTGTTTTGATATATTACTTCTTGATAAACAAAGTTCCTTTTTTCAGATTGGTAAACTAGACCATTTTTGTATTAAAACTAAGTTAAAATTAATAAATTAAAGCTATCATTACATATTTTGCCTAATTTGGGGTTGTTTTAAGGTTTTTATATTAATAAATTTTTTTGAATCTATGTATGTATGCTTGTATCAAAAGTTAATCTATTCATTATTTCCCTAAAACAAATCCATACTGTATTTGTAAGGTCACTGACATTACCAGTGATTTGATGTAGCATCACACTGATCTTTGTTCCTGACTTTCAGTATGTAAAAAATAGCCCAAAGCACAAAGAAGTTGGAATAGAAGAGGAAAACGTGTCCCAACAGGGTGATGGGTCCGTTTGTTTACGAATAGGACGAATGCATTTTGTCTACTTGCATAGGATTGTTACAGAAGTTCAAGTGAGTTGATTTTTTTGTTTTGTTTGTGTATCCACGCAGTACTATATAAAATTTTCAAAGAATCTAATTTTGTGGGATTGTTAAGTAAAATTATGAGTGTTTCCTACTGCTGTAAACTTCTGTTAATGATGAATAAATAGATCATATATTATTTAACTGTTTTAAACACAAATACTGCTGAAAAATAACATTAAAAATGATCAAACATCAAATATTTGCTAAGCAAAAAATATAATAAATATGACTAATCACCTGAAGAAATATTTTTAATCACAATTTTTGCTGTATCAAAGTTATCACAGAATTTTTAGGTTATAATACATCATGTAGTATATATCATTTCTTATGGCAACAGTACTGAAAGTCAGTAACTTCAAACAGTATGGAAAATATTGAAAAGAAAATACTATGAATGTACTGGTGTAGTGTGCAGAAACAAGATAACTTAATTTCCTTTAGTGTATATTTATTATATACCTAATTCTTAAATATTTCTAAATTCTGATTTTGGAACACACTAAATTCAATAGAGGACACATTATAAATTTAATATTAGGTGGTATTTTCTGTAGTTTGATGGTACAAAAACATACCTACTGTTTCATGGGATAGTTGCATTGTGTCATGTTTGGCATTTTGTTTGTGGGGAATACCTTGTAGCTTTTTCATAGAACAGAGATATGTCTGCATCCAGTGCCCTTTTCTGATTGGTTAGCTGCAAGGAGAATGTGTTATGTGATATACAATTTTGAGGATTTCGGGGAAAATTTGGATTGAGTATGAAGAGAATGGATTAGCCTTTGTAAGAAAGCCAAGACCTACTGCAAAAGTTCCATCCTTAGAGAACTACAGTAAAACACCATTAATTTATTTAGCTCCACTTTTCTCATTTCATTACTTGTTCTTTAATTTTTATTTATTTTATTATTTTTGCTTATGTGCATTAATAAAATATTGTGTTTTATTTATTTGTTTGAACTGTTATCTTTTATTCCATCACTAACAAATAACTGATCTTTTCTTCTCCAAATTAAATCCATAAATCTCTCATTTATGCAGAGACTGGTTAACTGTGTTTAGGTATAAGTTTGAATTACGTTGGTCAACTGAATGTTGGTGCCACTGACTAGGATTTAGTTTTTGCAGAAGAGAAAGCTGATTTGTGTCTTTTTCTCTTCAAGTTGTTCATACCTTTCACTCTTGTGCTCTTAAATAGAAATAGGTTCAAGAGGTGCCTCTGCATCCTGGAAAGAACTTTAACGTATAGCAGGAGAGGCAGACTGATCTGAGGTTGAGAACTGAAGAGCCCTGATTAACTCAAAGGATCCCTCTGTTGGATGCTGAGTGCTTCTCATCATTAAGACAAGCATTTCAGAGTTTTATTCTCCATTCACCCACTAAGGTGACTGAACCATACCTTGGTTCATCGGGTAGTGCTAATTACCTAGATCATTCTCTAGCTGACTAACTGAAATTGAAGGAGTAGGTGGGAAGTTGACAAGAAGGTGTAGCTGACATTGGATTCACTAGATAAGAAGCTACAGAGATCAGCATCTTGCATAGTTGACACCATTACTGGATAACACCTTCAGTGAATGTTAGAGACAAGCTGTGGAAAGCAGACCACATTATAATGTTTAAAAATGTGATAGATCTAATACTAATGTCTTATGACAAGCATAATTCTAATCATTATTTGCCAGTTGTAAAATGGATATGCACCATACCAAATCAATACATACTGATTATAATCACTTACTTTACTAAACATGCTGAAGCATGTTCACTGACTGACACACTAACTCAAACAGTTGCTGACATGTTAGCTGAACAGTGGATAGTTTGCATTGAAACACCAGAGAAGATCCATACCAAACAAGGAGCTAACTTTAACAGTCGGCTGTTTACCAGATCATATATGGTTCTAGGAGTGTTGAAGACTTATATTTCAGTTTGGACTAGCTGCTCAGTCAAACCATACATGCTTTGTAAGATTTTGAGCTCATATCAAACCCACTTGGATAATCACCTGCCTTATGTAATGATGTAGTACTATGCAACCAAGTAAGAGTCCATTGGCTGTTCTTCAAGATGCTATTGTTCAGACTTGAAGTTACACTCTTGGTGTATTTCATGTATATTCCATTAACTGCAGAATTGTTGGAATGTCCATAGGTATAATTGGAATGTTTGCAATCCATGTTACTTAATACACAATTGTTCATGCATCAACAGTTAGAAAGAGTGACTAACAGAGAGAAGATATAAAATAAGATGGTGAAAGAACATCAGTTAGAATGAGTAGAAGATAGGGTGTGACACTGGTATATGCCCAAAGTGTGACAACCACTCAAATCTGGCTGGACTAAGACTTAACTTGTTTCTTAGTGATTTAATCTGTCAAACTACGAGATTCAATATTCACTTGCCACATGGAAGTTCATAGAACACAATGATAAGCTGAAACTATCTTACTGATGGGCTTCTGTGACCTTGGCTTGACCAGGAGGAAGGATGTGAACAAATAAGACCCAAGGAAGACAATAAGGACATTATCAAACATCACTTTGGATCATTGGAAAGAGAAGAAGATCCAGAGAGCATTCTAGAACCTTTTCTGGCTGTCTATAAAGAGCCAGAGGAGGAGGAGGAAAAACTTGTCTGAACCAGTTTTCTGGATAGATGCACAGCAACAGTAGAGATGTTGACCTTCTAGAGCTTGGATGGTGGGTTATTTAGTAGATTAATCACCAAGAGTGACTTTCAACCCTCATTTTCCAAGTTACCTGGCAGAATTTCTATAACATGCATGTTTCATGTATACATTGATGCATATATTGAAATTCACTAAGCTTGAAAAATAGAACAGCTGATAATTGTAGATATAAAACCTAGAATTTCAAGAAATCTGTGTGACTGGAGATGATTGCTAGGGAACTTGTAATGTCTTAATATTTGAAAATGTCTTTATTTTTCAAGCTTTAAGTTTTTGGGTGGATTTATGGATTAGAAAATACCTCTAAGATATTTTTGTGTAATACACTTGATTTATTGAAATAATGCACTGTGATAGCTAGTAACACATGCCTTCAACACATGTAGGTGTATTGCCCTAAAGAAAGAATGATATAAGGCAACATTCACCAAAGAAATTAAATGAACTTTAGTGCTAAGTACTACCATGCCTTCTGAGTTAAAGAGAGAGGTCAACTATTAGCAATTGCCAATAAGCTAGGTAATAGTATTGGTGAAACTGTATCCCATATGCAGTACATTCAAGGACACTAATACTGTAATGAGCTAGTTTGAGGACTACAACTATGTTTTTTGTTTGTTTTATTTTTCTTGTGCCACTTCATAGATTGCTACTTTGAGTGATGTTCTCAGGATGCCTAAGAACCAGATGTTTCAGCTACTGGGAGAAAGCACTCAACTACTGTATGTTGGTATACATGTAATGTTAAAGTGTAAACTTGAGAGTAGTAATGAAGGATGTAGCAGAATGTACTTGATTTTATAAAGTAGCTGTGAAATCCTTACATTTGAGTATCAATTGATAGTGTGGGAAACTTCAATGTATAGTTGGAAATTAGGTTTCTTCAATCAGATCTTATGCTGAAACCTGAACTATTGATCTGTGTCTGGATAGGCTGATCAGTCTGACATCATTGTCTTCTCGAATTGTCAACTTGCAACAGGACATTAGTTGATACCATCATTTTTGCTCTGATTAGTGGTAGATCTGTTTCTTTTAGAGACCTGTCTTTAACTTTTAATTTTACAATGGAAGATATCTTAAGTGTGGAAGTACAACCTAGTGTTGATTTAGAGAACCTAGCTAAGATGCCTATAATAATTAGGTATGTGGAATCTGGGAAATATTCAAGTTTCTTGCCTACAGAGGTTGATAAACCCCTGTGTAATCAGTGATGATGAGTTGGAAAATGAGATATCGTGAGTTGTGAGGCAGCTCAATACCTTTTTAATTTCCTGGGTTTTTCTGTCATTGAGTGGACTACCTGCTTTATCTTTGTGTGGACCATATTTAAAGGAACAGTCACCAAAAGTAGAACCCAGCCAGCTATAACAGATGGAAGGGAAGAAGCCAAAAGCTCATGTAAGTGTGATATCCAAACAGTGTACTGCCTGTTCAGTGGAGAGGTGATAAAAGTATCAATTGCATAAAATTGAAATATGGGTGTACCTCTGATGGGATCATTGACTGTTAAAGCCTAAAGACATCTGTGTCGATCTGCTGAGTGGGAAGACCTCTGACAGACTTCCTCGATGGCACCACAAAGACTCTTGCTTAACAGAGAACGTCAGATCAATGGGATGCCACAAAGATAATACAACCAAAACGATTCCATCTCACACTTTGAATGCCAGTAAACTATTTGCAATCATTTAGATATACCCCATCTTCTGAGTGTAGATACATATATTTTTTGTAAATTTGTGTATTTGTTGTTTTATTATTTGTTGATTTTATGTTTTATGTACCTAAATTTTCATTTGTAACTTCATTTGTAGTTTAGGGTTTTCAGTTTGTGATTTCATAATTTTTATATCATAATTTGTTTAGCCATTTCACAAGTGGTAGGTAAAATTGTGCAAGGTATATTTAAAACTTAAACTACCTTATTATCATTGCATATGAATAAACTTTGCATCAAATGTAGTTACTAAACCAAATTTTGATATTATATAAGTTTTAAGTTCTTAATTTTATAAGGAAATGCTTAAAAGGATCCTCAGTCTCGCCAGGTATGAGAATTGTAACATTTGCTCTTCAGGTCTTCCCTCTTCTCTAACAGAATTAACTCTTTTGCTATGGGCTCGGCTGATTTGACCTAAATCTTGACCCCATGTTGACATTTAGAGTTTCTGTGCTATAACTTTTAATATGTTTTATGTATCTTCACGAAATTTTGCAAGCTTTCAGTAAGAATTACAAATCTTTTATGGACAAAAAAATCTGAATTTTTAATGAAATATTT